CTCAATTATAAATATAGAAGAAACAATACCAAAAGTAAGTCTAGAAGAACAAGGCTCGCCAGAGGAATATAGTGAAATGACCCATATAGTTAAAAGCATACCAGCCAGTAATACTAATGAGAGTGCAATTAGAAATGCCATAACAGAGGAAGAAGCAGGAATAGGAAACATCAAAGAACTAGAAATGAACAAAATGGCTACATATAAACAGCCTAACAACATTTTACAGTTAGCAAACTTTAATAATCTTCCAAATGGCAGAAATGAACAAGTAGAAAACGTAGACGGGTAAAAAAACATGAAAACATAACCGAAAAGGCAATATAAATGCAAACATAATGAAACTACCCAACAGCTGGAAGATCAACTAGAACAATGCAGAGCAAGATTAGTCATAATGGAAGATACCAGTAGAGACTATAGAAACACAATTAATCTACTTAGGATGAAAACAGAAGTAATCACTTATGACAAAGGGAATTTAAAATCCTATCATCCAAACTGTAACTGTAGCAACAACTTGCAGAAGCAGACTATAAACAAAGTAGATATAATGCTGAACAACTTCAGGCTAGAAATGGAAAATAGAGACCTAAGAATTAAACATCAAATGCAAATAAATGAATTAAGAAATAAACTACAAATAATGGAACTACAGAAAGAACTAGGAATGTGGCAAAGACCAGGAAGTTAAAGTCATGAATATTATCCTAACCAGAATATGGATAACACTAGAAACACAAACCAACACCAAATGAGTGATCAACATAATCGCATACAGCTAACAAATCAGCAATCCAGGATTCCTAATCAAGCCAATCCACTATACATGAATCACCTGGCACCTCCACATTATAGCCTAATCCCAACAGAGCAGAGTAGAATACATCATGGTCTTATACAAGCGCCAATGTACCATAACAGCAGAATACATACTTTACCTGCAAATGGCCAAAGCAGCCACCATTTCACTGCCTACAGAAATATACCAACTGACAGTATCAACACTAACATGATGCAAAATGCACAGTTATACAGACAGCAATATAGGATAGATCCCCAACCTATAAAAAAATATATATATTACCACCAAGGATATAGTCAACAACAGACAAATAGAAATGAGCAAAGTCATAGAAAAATCAATAAAAGATTCCAAGACCAAAGAACAAGCAAGCCAGTAATAGTTAAACAAAGTCAGACAGAAGAAATTGAAAGACAAAATCAATAACAACACCAAACAAAACAGGCTGATAATAACAATGTAGACAAAGAACCAACAGAAGAAACTAGAACGAACATCCTTCTAACTAATTCGGCTGCTTTGATTACCGCAAAAAATGATGAAAATAAAATGCAAAGAGAAGTAAACCATCAAGTAGAAGTCAAGTCCAGAACTGGTCTTATCACAACGGCTTCTTGTGGGGACGCCCCGCTGGAAGCGGACTGCCATCAGAAGTTTCCCTCTAAAAAGGGGGCCAATGTTGGTTGTCCCAAGCATCTTAAGGGACTAGTTCAGGCTGACAATCTAGAAAACAAAGAAGATGGGAATATAAAGAAACCAAATCCTTTTTTAGCCAGCGGCCGGTCAAAAAGATAAAAGGGAGGAGATCATTATAGGTACACACGTACAAAATGTGAAATCAAACGCTCTTTATATCAAAAACTTGCTAAGGGATGTACATGTGTTATGCCTTCAAGAACACTGGCTTTTCAATGTGGAAAAGAAAATCAAAGGTGAAATTACTGAGAATAGCGGATATATAGCTAAAAGCGTTGATGATAATGACGACCCTGATTTCAACGTATCAATGAAAAGGGGATATGGTGAAGTAGCCATAGAAATTAATGAAAATATAAAGGAACTGATAGAAGGTGGAAATAGAATACAAGCCATACATAATCAACAAGTAGATAAACCAATATGTCTTATATATGTGTATATGCCCTCAGATAACAAAAATGCAGATATAGAATACAAAGACACTTTGGCTCAAATTGATAAAATGATAGAGAAATATAATGATACACACGAAATCATAGTCTGTGGATACATGAACCGGTCACTTTACAGAAGCTCTACACCTCATGATAAAATTCTACAGACTTTTTGCAAGGAAAAATGTATAGGAAATACTGAAAAATGCCCAATAAAAGAAACTTTTTATCACCAGAATGGTAAATCCAAAGGACAAATTGATTACTTCCTCTACAAAAGTAACTCGGAAATCACAAATAAAATCAAACAATATGATGTCCTTCACACTGACCCACAGAATAATTCGGACCATGTACCTGTTATTCTGACACTGAATTGTCAACTGAAAAAAATAAGAAAAAAAGCAACAACTATCATAGCAAAACCTAAATGGGCTGACTGTGACCATCAAATATACAAGGAAATCATCAATAAAGATCTACCAAACCTCATGAGAAATCAAAAGGAATCATTAAGCAAGATATATGAAATATAGAAATATAGAACAATTACTCCATAAAGCCGGAGAAGCGGCAATCCCAAAGTATAGAAGAAAAACCAAAATTAAATCCAGGGGAAAGGCCATATGGAACGAACAAACAGAAAAGGCATCAAAACAACAAAAAATGCATATATAGTATGGAGGAAAATGGAGTAACGAGCTCAAAATCAAAATGACAGCTGCGAAAAGAATACTTAGAAAAGCACAAAGACAAACTTATCAGAGAGCATCAACAGCTGAAAAAAATTATGAAAGCTTCAAATGCAAACACAAAACTTTTCGACAAGCTTATCAACATGCAAAGAAAACCCCCACTTTCTAATACCAAGATACTGAAACTGAATGATAAGACTGCATAAGATGGACCAAGCATAATGAACATTTGGCAAGGACATTTCCAACAACTAGGTACACCAACATTAGAGCAAAACTTTGAGACGGAAAAGCTAAAGCTTGCAGAAATACAAAACAATATCAAAGAAAGCATAGAAAGAGAAAAAAAAGTCATGGCATTGATCATGTCAATGTAAAGGAGGTTAATATGGCCATAGAAAAATTTAAAGCAGGAAAAGCACCAGATGAGGACGGAATTTCGGCAGAACACTACAAATATGGGATGGATGAGTTAACTCCCTTTATAACGAATTTGCAAACTTTAATTATAACATATCTGGACGTACCAATCTTCCTAAAGAAAGGGATTCTTATACCAATCCTAAAGAAAGAAAAAGACAAAACATTATCAACTAGCTATAAAGGAATAACTGTAACTAAAACCTTTGCAAAAATACTACAAAGTATACTGAAGGATAGAGTTGACTCTGTATTTAATACGCAGTGATGTTAAGGCAATTTCGATTAGATTTGGTCAGGGGCAGATAACCCCGCAGGTACCTCATTATGTATTCATATATTCATTAATGGCGGAGAGTACCTAAGCTGCGTCTATCGATAAAACTGTATGAAATCAAATAACATACATGCCTGTTAATTAAAAACAGGTATCCATATGGTGTAATTTGTTTACTGGAACACCAATATTGTATGTGTGTGCTTTAATTATTATGGTAAACGGTTGCAATGGCTGTTTTTTGTGCCGAGATTGTCGCTTTTGGACACCGCCTCCTTTTGATGATCCAATCAGTAGACGATCGCCGTCGGACAGTTGTTTGTAGTTTGCAGAATGGAAAGCAACTTGCAGCGGAAATTATTTTCACTTCTACGTGAAAATCTAGCCAGAAAAGTAAGTTTAAGCCACCAAATATGTAAAATTTATGCTCGTTTTGTTAATCATTCGCTTCAGAAGGCGAAAAACGGCACCGTATAAGATAAAACGAGTTCAGTGTTGGCAAGCATGTTGCACACGTGGTCAAAATGAAACTAGACTGCAAAAAATATCTGAAATTTGAATAATTTATCGAGTCCCGTCAGTAAATGAACAGAATATCGAATATATATATATATTTTTAGTGGTATGAGTGTGCCGCAAAACAGGGTCGCTTTTTCATGCCCTGCTGGTTAGAACAGGGTCCCTTTTTTATGTCCTGCTGGTTAGAACAGGGTCACTTTTTCATGCCCTGCTGGTGAGAACCGGATCTTTTTTACAACAAAGTATTTGTCTAGAACCGGATCACTTATTTAACTGTTTAAGATACAGTCTAGAACCAGGGTCTAGAACAGCATCTATTTTATACGGTCTAGAACAGGGTATACATTTTCTGAGTGTGTCTAGAACAGGGTATGTTTTTCAATATTTCTGTTTAGAACAGGGTATGTTTTTCAATGTGTTCTTGTTAGAACAGGGTATGATTTGGCAAGTGCTGTCGGCACAGTTATACCCGAAAGGATAGTCAGTAACCTCCATGGGGTACATCTGTAAATTATAGAGTTTGCTCCACCGTTGACTTCCATCCGGAGCCCACATTGCTGGAGCCTGATGATCCCTAACTTCAAATCATGGAGCCCTTAATTTGAAGCTTAGGGCACTAAAACTTGCTCAAAGGAACCCTGAACACGTAATTTGGAGCTCGGTCACGTCATATGGTGTAACCCCCCCCCCCCAACCAACCAACCAACCAACCAACCAAACCAATTCAAATGTGAAGACCATAGTATAATATTTTCTGCCGAGTGCTGACGGTATATTTCAACTTTTAATTTTATAGATCCCTACTTGGAAGTTTACCCCTTATGGAAAAATAAGGCTTCTTGCAAATATTTGCGGCAATGTTGCTGCAAATATTTGCGGCAATATTGCTGCAAATATTCATTTTTCGTATGTAAATTAGTTTTCTTGCAAACAGTTGCTGCAATATTACCGCAACAATTTGCGGCAATATTGCAGCAAATGTTTGCGGGAAAATCAGTAGCTATGATTGTTGCAGCAATATTGCGGCAAATTCATTAGCTGCAATGTTGCAGCAATATTGCAGGAAAATTAATTTCTTGCAATATTGCAGCAACATTGCAGCAAATCTTTCAACAATTTCAGTTGAAAAATTAGGAATTAAAAACTAAGCATTTAAAAAAGTATGATTTAATAATAAAACAAAATTTTCTCTGTCCTCTATAGGTTGTTGTGTTACATATCTGTGTATCCTTTAGTTCTGTTTCTCTGTACTCACTGTCCTTAAAGTTGAATTTTCTGATTTCAAATACTGCAAAATAAAAGTTGAAGAATTTAGCATACATTAAAAGAATAACTAAACATTATAAAGATATAAAGATATAAGTTACTACTATATATTGTAAATTCTGGACTTGTAAAATGAAAATAACTCTTTATAAAGAGATGATTACAGACCAATTTTTCCAGCATTTGTTTCACTTAAAAGGTTCAATCAATGTCTAAAAGTGATCAAGTCCTTCTAGAAATTGCATATTACTATAGAATACATTTAACCTTATGCCAGTACTAGGTTGTTATTGCTTTTTTGAATATTTGTTTTTCATTGAACTATAACATAATTGGTCTTGTCTATTCTTTAAAATTTTTGTGATTAGTTGTGTATATATTAAAGCTAAATATTGTTGCCATTTGTTGATAGACCTCTTATTGGCAGTCAAATCACAGATCTCTAATTTAATACCAAACTGCTTTTATTAGAAGATTTCTTGTTTCAATTTAAGTAATGTACTTTCTAAAACATATAGTCTTAAAAAGATTTAAAAAAATATCTCCTGTCTTACACAATTTTAATAATATTCATGTGCATAAATCTATTGTCTTATACTTTTGTCAACTCTATTAAGTTAAGAAAACTCTTTAAATATCACTATTTTGAACTGTAAGAGCAAGCACTTATTCAAAAAGGTGGACATTCAACTCCATTGTACTTACCAAAAGATGTTATCCAAATTATGTGTAAACACCAATCTTCCTAAATCCAAGAGTCATGTCAACTGAAGGCTATCATATGCACTATCCAGTGTCAACAGAATTAGTTGGAACTTTTGGATCTAAATCCATTGTAAAATTCATATTACTTTGTTCATGATAGAAGACATCTTTGTTTGTTGTATGCATGTTCATGTCCAGTTCAAATTTTGAATATGTTGATCAAGGTTGCTTAGGGTATTGTGACAGTGTGATCCCTTTGAAATTTGCCCCTAATTATAAATATCAATTGCCTAAATCTTGAATATTTGTTATATATTATAATAAAAAAATAATTATATATATATTTTCTTTTTATCTTTGATGTTATACGTTATAATGGAAATATATACAAAGAAGAAATGCTCTACCCTTAATTTGGCCTCAAACTCTGTGTACATTAATTTATGGTACTTCCTGTCTTTACCACTACACAGAGATAAATGGAAACCAGATGGCACATTACATTTCTATCACCAGCTCATATTACTAATTGAGATGAGAAAGATAATTTGTGTATACATAGTTTTAAAATAATGATACTAGAAATTAAACAAATTAAATTATGCAACCTGCAGGTGAGGCTAAATTCATTTGATGGAAAATATTAGAATTAAAAATATTGTTCATAGAAAAATGTCACAAAAAAGTGACAAAAAGGCATAATAATACATGTAGAACAAAAATTATAATAATTATGACTCAATTATTTAGATTAAACTTGTTGAAATAAATATCAAAGTATTCTTGAAATTCTTTCCTTACAAAATATCACATAATTGTGATGTACAGTTTAGGAATTCTAAAAATATAAGCATTGTTACTTGAAGATTTATTTAAAATAAATTATTCAAATATCCGGATATTTCTGAGTAAAATAAAGTATGACGACAACAAATTTAGATAGTTAGAAGTATCCATAACCAAATGTTCAAAGAAACAATATGTTGTGTATTATTTGAACCTTAAATCTTAAAACAAATAATCATATGTAATATATTTTAAAATGCTTGAAATATTGGTGCAAACTATCTGATTGTCTGACATTATTAATGAAACTTTTCTTGCAAAGTTGTTGCAATAAGTCATTCCTTAAGTAATAAAAGAAAAGGTTCCTGCAACTTTCTAGCAAACAAATTCTTTCTTGCAACATTGCAGCAAACTTGCGGCAATTTTCTTGCAAACAAATTTTGTTGCAGTAACATTACGAGAATGTTTCAGGTAGCTGCAACAACCTGCAACTTTCTTGCAAACACTTCTTGCAAACAAATTTGTTTGCTGCAATATTGCCGCTATATTGTTGCAATATTGCAGTAAACTTTTCATTTCTGTAAGGGACAGCGATTTTACAGCGTTAACGCCACCCCCTTCCCGATATCGGAAACATTAAAAACAGCCTATTATTTGGACTTATCGTGGAATGTGTGTCTTTCTCTGGAAAATGCTTGCACCTTGAATAAGTTATTTTTGAACCAGTATTTTTAAAATCCAGAACCAATTCAGCAATATGACCAATTGCAAGTTTATATACTTCATGTACTCGTTGGTTATAAAATACATGAGAACAATTTTGAACATGATAGTCCAAATAATATTATTTTTCTTGAAAGGCTTTGTTAATGATTTACTGGGACACTTCATATGACCGTCATTCTAAGGAAGGAATCCCAGCAACAAATTAAGGAAGCCTCTCATGACACAATAATAATAGACTTATTAATATCATGACTGCCCACGTTGACATATTCTTTTTAGATATGGTTATCATCAGCATTAAAATGAAAAAGAGCACTGCTTTTATGCTGATGATGTCTTGCATCACAGTACCCAAATTGCACCTATTTAGCAAATCTTACAAGTTTTCTAAGGCACTACACAATTTGTATTTTTTTAAATTATTTGACATGCCTGTTTTTCTAATACATAAGCTGCGTCGGATAGAAATCAACCTTATGCAAGTGCACTTTGACATGTACATGTGTAAGACTATGATTGATTATATAACATTCAAATACGAAATAAAAAATGAATTTTGAACTGCTTTGTAGGGTTCTTATGACAACTCAATTTCCAAACAGTTACAGGCTTTCCCTGGAGATTTTTTCAACCCGAAATAGGTTTACAGATGTATTCGAATTCATTTGCATAAGGTCGATTTCTATCCGATGCAGCTCACATGTAGGTAAATATATTTAAATATTCACAAAACGTTTACAGTATATATCAACAGATGAATATCACTGGAAAAGTAAAATCTACAGAAACATTAGCATGCGCCGTCCACAAAAAATCATCTTTTAAAAAATGAGCAAATAGAATATGACTTTATGTTACGCCATACGAGTATTAATTTCTTAAAAATTGAATAGCAAGCAATTGGACTAAAATGTCAAATTATTCTAAATATTTTAAGAAATAAAACAAAACATCTGTTATTCGAATTTCAAGGATAGGAATTAAAGCATGGATGCATTTTGGGTACTCCTCATTACAGAATCATGGATTGTTTGGAGGTCGGTTTAAACCCATTTTTCTATGATTCAATATGGATTCATAATTAAATTGGTGGAACTAAATAGTAAATAAGGATACATCTACAAAATAAACACAGAATGGAAACTTTTGTCTGGATCTTAAAATAATGTATGTGAAAAAACTGTCAAAATATATGTAGGTGCAATTTGGGTACCCTCGGCTCACGTTATATACAGTTACAACAGATATTGACAAGGCAGTAATTTATTGTACTATAAATTCAGAAGAATTGCGATTAATCAGATGAATATCGCAATTATAATTAACCTCACATTTTTATACGCCCGTTTAGGGGACGTATTACATGTATGGTATACCGTTGTCCGTCTGTCCGTCAGTCATCAACATGTCGGACATTAACTCAAACACGCTTTTACCAATTTGCATAAAACTTTGGTGAATTGTTTATATCTATTGACGTGAGCTCCTTTTCGTTTTTATAAATTTTAGATTTTATGTTTCCGAGTTATGGGGTTTTATTCATTAAAAAAGGGGAATTTTCCAGTTTTCAGACAATAACTCAAGAATGCTTTCACCAACTTGCAAGAAATTTTGGTTAATTGTTTGTATCTATTGACATGAGCTCCCTTTTGAATTTTATAAATATTAGATTTTACGTTTCCAAGTTACGGAGTTTTATTCATAAAAAAAAGGGGGGATTTTCCAGTTTTCGGACAATAACTCAAAATTGCTCTCAGCAGTTTTCATGAAACTTTGATGAATTGTTGATATCTATTGATGTAAGCTCCCTTTAGAATTTTATAAATTTTAGATTTTACATTTCCGAGTTATGGGGTTTTATTCATTAAAAAAGGGGAGATTTTCCAGTTTTCAGACAATAACTCAAAAATGCTTTCAGCAATTCTTAGGAAACTTTGGTGAATTGTTTATATCTATTGATGTAAGCTCTCTTTAGAATTTTATAAATTTTATTTGTTTATAGTCTGACAACAGATTTACTAAGTATTGCGCAACAGCATAGTGTATTGCACAACAGCAAGAAATCTTTAATTGAATATAAATTCAATTCATATAACCAATTTCAAGTTCTTTGACTACATTTATTCAGAAACCTATAATTTGTCAAATATTTAATTACAATCCAAATTCAGACCTGTATCAAGCTTGAATATTGTGTCCATTTTTGCCCCAACTGTTCAGGGTTGGACCTCTGCGGGCGTATCCAGCTGCGATCATCGAAGCAGTTTATTGTCACTCCTTTCAAAAATCACAATAATATTAAATGCACACAATGATTTAGAAATGTTCAAAATAAAGCCTGCAGTCATTATCACCTGCCTTTAATGGGGCATCTAAGCTACGAGATATAAAAAAAATTAAAATATGATTATTTTTTTTTCAATATCTAACGAAAGTGCAATAGTGAAATAATTATTCACATTTAGCACCCAGCTGGTTCAATTTTGTCGAAATAAGCTAAGAAACATTGCTGGTGAATCATTCAGTCAATAACTCAAAAACGCTTTCACCAAATTTTATGAAACTTTGGTGAATTGTTTATATTTATTGACAAAAGTTTCCTTTCCATTATTTTTTTATTTTTGATTTCTCGCTTTTGAGTATTGGGACTTTATTCATAAAAAATGGTTGTTTTTTTTCTCCAGTTTTCGGACAATGACTCAAAAATGCTTTAACAAATTTTCATGAAACTTTGGTGAAATGTAACATAAGCTCCCATACAATTTTTATATATTTAAGATTTTACCTTTTCGAGTTATGGGATTTTATTCTTAAATATTATTCATGATTTGTGCCTCTGTGTGCTGGTGTGTGCATTTTTTATGGGGGGGGGGGGGGCTATTTTGAGGAGTATTTCTAGTTAATCATAAAGATTAAGGCATAAAGACAAGCTAAAGGACAACAGGCATATCGTGTGCTCATGGCGCAGCTCTTTATTTTAAATATGATGAAGCAATTCTTCTAGAAATCAAAGAAAAAATGGGCATTATTTCTATGAAGGAAATCCAGATATCAATTCGGGGTTGGGTGGCAGACGTAATTTCTTTATTTGATATGTTATATTTATTTATCGTGTATGAATCATTGTAATTAATCTGCTCCTTATTTTAAAAAAAAGTATCTGTATTTGTATTAAAAAAATTACTTTCTCTTATTTTAGCTGACCATTCCAATATAAGAAACAGAATGCTATTCCAGTTTGATGACCTATAAAGTAATGGTTTGAATTTGAAAAGCTTTATTATTAGACAGGTAAATTGTTGCATTTTTTCTTTTTGCTCGCTATTAAAACTGGTTATCCCTTGTTTTTGTATATATCAAATCAATCTGCACCAAAATCTTTTCCTACTACTAGTTAGAAGACCAAATCTATTAATATAAAGATAAGAAGATGTGGTATGACTGCAATGAGAAAACTATCCAGCAGAGACCAAATGATGTAGATCAAAGCATCTATATATAGGTTGCTTTGCTGTCTTCAACAACAGTGGTGTCACAGTACAACATAAGAACAAACTGTAAAAGTTATTGAAATTAAGGCTTGACAATTAACTTGTCAGATCAACACATACATGTTGCACAAAAAAAAGGCACAAAGTACTTGCAGTTACTGAAAGCTAGTTCAACGCTAATTACAACTTATAGAAAGGGCAAGTTTCTAAGACAAAAAGAATCGGTACACATTAATAATCCCATAATTAAATATTACCAACCATTTTACTATACAAATACAGGTGTTCAGATAATCTGACTGAAGCGATAAAGCTATATTATATATATAGTAATATA